TTGAGCTCGTAACTTTCTGAATACGCAGTTTTCTCGGGCCCTGGAGTTTAGTAAATAAAAGGTAAAGTAATCTAAACAAATCGTATTTTCTAATCTGTAGTCTTTTGATGGGTTCTACAGCTGGTCTCTTCTGAATCCATTCATTAACACAGATAATGGGTTCACCCCACAGTAGTTGGCACTAGCTCAAAAATGTTAGGTATCTTTTCTTCACCAGTGAAGTTTTTCTAGATTTCATTAGTCCTATTACTTTCTTTTACACTTTAACCCACCAAAGACTAAAAGAACCTGTGACATTTACTGGCAGAATGCACACCTTAATTGATTTCTTTTCCAATTGATTTAGAGGTTTTGAGAGACATGAACTGTACTATAACCTGTCCTCAACCTTTCCCACTACTGTCCACCATCAATTTACCAAGTGTGTGTTTAAGGGAAGCACAGTCATGTCAACAAGTCCTAGTTTTCAGTTCAAACTGACTGTTTTTGCCTGCTACAAACAGGAATGTGGCCTCATGGCCCAAATTAGTGCAGGTCAGATGCTTCTTCAGTCCTCTACTGGGTCTGATTAAAGAGGCTCCAGAAATGCTGGCAGCCAGCCCACCATAACTCTAGCCCAGGAATCTTATTGGAAAAGGAATTGAAAAAATGGGTTGGAGATTGTTGCCCTTATGGGTTCAGTTCCATTTCTGCCTGCAGTTCATGGAACTTGAAGGAATTTTATCCTCTCTAGATTGCTTCTAATTTCTAAAACGTAGCTCTTAATATTTAAAATAAGTAAAATTCCTTAGATGTAACTTTTTCATAGGCATGCCAGAATTGTATTCCATGCATTGTTCGTATAATTTATACAGTTGCACTTATAAACAGAATGTAATGTAATTGCATTGCTAATTGGCATTACTAATGTAAGCAGTAGTAAGATCTGGCAGGTATGGTTATTGTTGTAGTGCACAGATTGGTTTTGTTGGCTTTGTGTGCTTGCATAGTTAACTTTATAGCAAAGAGTAATGACTGCACTAACTAGGAAAGATCAGATTAAGGTGGCAGAATGCAGAGAAGGAGACTGGGTCATGTTAACTGTTGCTAAACTTCTACTGGTCAGTCCAACCCTAAAAAAGCCTGGTCCAATGAGGAGTGCTTGAGGGCTTGGGATAAGAAGGAAGGTAAAAAATGAGAGAGAGAGGGTGCAAGCTTCTTGAAATATTCTTCTCTTCCTAATTCAAAAATTAAGGTGTATCTTCTCAGTGTTCCACTTGGAAAACATTCACACCTGAGAAAATACCTGCCAGCTGTTGTATACAGTGTCTGCTGGTGAACTTAGTAAATTGCTTGTTAATCCCTGTAGTTGGTCCAGTGTCAATGGAAATACTGGTGTGGAAATTAATGTTGTTGTTCAATTAATGAAGCATAATGTTCCAGAAAGTTAGGCCTGGTACATAGGTCTCCATTAACAGCATTTCAAAAAATGTTTGCTTTGATGGCTTTTCCCTCCCTTGCAAACACTTAACAGCATCTGTTGACTGTTATGTAATATTTGCTCTAATATGTAGGTGCAAGGCAGCTGTAAACATTTTATCCTCCCTTCAGTGGATCATCAGCATGACTCTTGTTTTTACATTTTGTGTGTGTATATATGTGTATATATAAAGTCTATGGTTCTATGTGTCTTGGAAAACATAATAAATCAAGAAATTATCAATAAATTAATATATGAACAGATAGCATTTGAAAGGTTTTTGCTCTGAACTAAGAAGTAATTTATATGAAGGCCAAACTTTGGCTCTTCAGTATCAAAACAAGAGAAAGCTTCAATTAAAAAAACTTAATTGCCTACACATTCTGACCATTTTGTATAGATCATTGGGTTTCCCTGCAATTCCCCATATTAGAATGCAGCAAATAATTTTATTTCATGTATTATCTCAAGTGACTTCGAATTAGGGGGGTTACAGAAGCTTTTTGCAGTGCTTTGCATAGAGGAGTGAAGGAAGATCTATTGAGGAAACGTTTCTCCTTTGTCAAACAAGTAATTAAATATAGTATTTCAAGACATGTTTCACCATCTTTGCTGGTTTTTACAGCTTGGAAAGTCTTCAGTGTCTCAGACTTTTATTGGTTTTGTAATGACAGGCAGGACAAGAGATTACTGCATGTCAGTTACTGATTTCCTCTTGGATGGAGCGGGATCATGAGTGATTCCAGGCACAGTGAGAACTGCCTCTCCCACAGAAACAGCTAACTTGTTCCAAAACTTCCATGGTGTTTTGTAGATTGTGGATTTGTTGAGGTTTTTCAAACATCCTTTATAAACATGACTTCTCTGATATCTCTGAGGTGAGGATGTAGGAGCTTCTGAAACACTCTGAATGTAGGAGAAAATGAAAGCCTTTTCTCGTGCTGTTAGTCTTTATTATGTCTAAGGTGCTTATCGTTCTGTTTAAGCATAAGAATCAGCAGAAAAATCCTGAAAATTATTATCAGGAGGTCTTCAGCATTTATACTAAAAGGTTACTTTATTGAAACATTAGCAAGACATATCTTCAAACATTAAATTTACAAAGTTTCTGTAGAGCCAAAGTGTGCCTGAGGAGTTCTGTGAAGAAGAGTTCAGCCTGGGCAGATGCATCACTGTCCTAGTGCACAGATAATATGGGTGGGTGGTTGGAATTTATAACTAAAGCAAACATGCTAGAAGTTATTGCAATGCTTCTGCACATCCTGCGTCAGAGGCAACTTTTTGGATGCCATTGACTAACAGTGGTGCCATTAAAGAGGGACTGTAAAATGATCTGGTTTATTACTTGGTAGGAAGGAGGACATGTATTTTGATGGAAACTTATGTACTGCAAAATATTATTTTCCTAATAGAACAATAGTTGTTTAGACTCAGCCTCATTATAGTTGTTGCTCTTTTAACCAAGTACTAGAAGTAAGGTGTCTGTTATTCAGCTGCTATCTGACTTGACATTTGCACTCATGTTTGAAGATAACTGTTCTTGCTAAACTAGATTGAAAAACAGAGGAAGACCTAAGATTTTTTAAATTTTTGCATACTAAGCACAGACATGTCTAAAGGACTGATTTTTTTATTGTTACGGTAAGTCTTACCTATCTTTAAAGGCAAGATATTTTTACAGTAAAAAAATGTAGCAAAAGAACATTTTCTTTAGCAATAAGGTATAAACAGTTATTAGAGAGAGATTTCTAAACAAGTATGGTCTTGGGGAAATACTGGGAGAGAGGAAATTAATTCCATCCATTCATTTCTATGAGAGTTGCCTTGCTGCACACTCTGAAAAACAGTAAGGTATACAACCTAGCGAGAAACAAACCTCCTCAAATATTTTCAGCTAAAAAACTATGAAATATTTTTTGTTTAAAACTCCTGAAATTTTAATTTTGGAAGGATTTCCCTTGAAATCAGATAACACTAGTTGAAATAAATAATTCAGTTAGTATATAGAAAAATACTGTATTTATTCAGAAACAGTGCATAGAAACCTTTAAGGTTTTGTATATGGCTTAATGCAATTGGTAGAAATAAACATATAGGATTTAAATCTGCTAAAAAATTTCTGAAACCAGACTATTAATAGCTAAAGTGAATGGGAGTAGTTAAAGTAAATGTGAGATGGTGTCAGTAAGAGAAGTATTCTACATCCATTAATTGTCATGCTTTATTTGTTGAATCCACTTAATGTTTCCGTGTGACTTTCCTGACCACACAGCATGAAGCCCTCTTAAGCCATTAAGCCCCTTTTCAGCAAAAACAGTTTAGTTCATATCTTTGTCTCCATAGTTTGTGCACTTTAGCTTGAAGCACATGGAAAGAGTATTAGGGAAGTGTGCAGTACATATATAGAGCTGCTTTTGTCTTCTGACTCACACTGCTTCAGATGCACAGATAATTATTTGATAGAAGATATGAATACACTAGAATATTAGAGCCTGATAAAGAGCTTGAAGTTTTCCTCTGATAATATCAGAAATTGGTATCATCAGGCTTTTAGTATCCATTTAATCTCTTGTAGAAAATGTTATTTTCATGAAGCCACCTCAAATGAACATAATATTTTATGCTATAATTATTAGTACTAATATTGATAAATCTGATATGCTAATATATTGTCTGCTATCTTTTAAACTCCTGCTGTGTGGCAGAATCTGTTTGCTCTTGGCTGTTTGCTCTGGAGAACCACTGTGCTTCACTTGGGAATAGTTCAGGGAAATACTTCTGATGATGTGTTTCCAGCCTTGCTCTGGTTTATAAAGCAGGTCTCATTTCTGTCAGGCTGGGCAGCAAGAAGGGCCGGCTGCAGCTCCTTCTGGCAGAGGGGCGTAGGACTGGTATCGTGTGAGCAATGCCCAAGAATGGCAGTACTGAAAGATGATTAAGGCTGAGCATCATCTGCATTGGGCCCTGGATTAACAGGCCTCTTGTGGGAAGGAAACAATTGTTTTTCAGTATTTTGGGAATATTGTCGCTTTCAAAATAACTCTAGAGCTCTATAGCATAGTTGATATATGGATGCTGGTTGCATTTTCCTTGACTGAAAAAATGTGTTGTGCTAAGTATAAATTGCACCCAACTTCTGTTTCAAAGTGAGATGTACAGCTTCAGTGGCAGTTCTGCAAAGATCAGTAATTTGTGTATTCTTTCTATCCTTTATACAGGCAACACTTAATGAAGTACACACATTACTAATGTCCATCCTGCAGAGAAATGAACTGTGAAAAGATTTAAACAAACATGTTCCAACTGTTCATACAAAGGATTGCACGAGTCACACATTGTGTTTCCACAATTTTTTCCCCAGAATTTGTTGCTGCTCAGCATGTATTTCACTTAGCTTCCTACAATTAAAATCTGCAAACAAAAAGGCTTTCAGTGCTAACAGACTCATATGCTTTCCTGGAGATTTGGAGCCACGTGTTTCGGGAGTGGCTGGGTACACCAAGCTGGTAAGATATAAAGGCAAGGTCAGTCACCTTCTCTCACTTTTTTAATAGCTCCCTTCCATGATTCTCATTCTCTGTCACTAGAAACTTAAGATTAAAGGAACTTTACTATATTTCAAGCACAGTTTAATCCATTAAGATGGATCTCCTTCACAGCAATGGAGTACTTATCATTCAGCATTTACAGAGGGACTACAGGGCTTACCAGGATTTCCTTAATTTTATGTCACATGTTGGTGATCCCCGGAATATATTTTCAATTTATTTTCCTCTTTGGTTTCAGCTCAACCAAGTGGTTGGTACTAAAATGATATGGGTGGCAGTCATTGGTGATTGGTTCAACCTCATATTTAAATGGTAAGAAGTTGGATTTGTTTTAAAATTTGGTATTTTTGATAGTAGTTACTATATGTACATCAAGTTTAGAAAACTTTCTGTAAATAATGTACTAGTAGATTTTCCCTGGTAATTATAAAATAGGGGTTCACAATGAAAATATTTAAGATATGTTTGAAATAGTGTAGTAAGATGAGAAGAACCTGTAGAACTATTACAGAACAGCTTTGGAAATATAACTCTTCATATTCTTTGTAAGATTATTTATCATGCTTTGCTGAAGCCTTCTTATGTAAAAATCTTTTAATTGAATTTCTGCTTCATTTTATTTTATTGTATCTTTTGTCAGGATTTTATTTGGCCATCGCCCTTACTGGTGGGTGCAAGAAACAATGATTTATCCTAATCAGTCAAGCCCATGCCTTGAACAGTTTCCTATAACATGTGAAACTGGACCAGGTAAGAAATGTTGGAGATTACCTTTGATTACATTTGATAGGGATAGCAGCTTCCAAGGGGAGAGAATGGGATTTAGGAGGGTCTTATATGATACACAAATCTCAGAGCTCATGTATAAAATAGCGCAAAAACAACAAGTAGAGGAAAAAGAAGTACAATAGGTAGGTATTTGCTGTATGACAAGAATATTTCCTTCATTGCCTTTAAAAGATGCAAAGGAGAGGGACTTGGTTTAAAAATAACTACTACTAGAATGAACTGGAGTATTGGAAGGAAATTTTCACCAAACTTTTGTAATACATTCTTTAATGTGTTCCAAGACAGAGCCCAGGGCTGTTGAGTTTGGGGGCTTGTTCACTGATGCAATAAATATTCAAACGCCAGAAACAAAGTAGGTGGTTCAGTGTAAATAACAGTAGTCTCAGCAATGAATGACATAATGTATCACAAAGGGACAAAAAACAGAACCAGACACTAGCACTAAATGTGTGGGAGTATGTGTATAAATATATGGGGAAAAAATATTTTTTAAATGTACCTTTTCAATATATTTTCACTTTTTATGTCTTATTATCTTCTCTATGGAAATCAAATGCAACACTGATGAAGCTAAATGACCTTGTACAACCCTAATATGCGCAATAAGATGGACTTGCTTTGAGCTAACTGAATTTAGTTTGATTTGTTGTGCAAGAAAATACTGACTGTGGAAATTATGTGCTTTGCATCTTGTCGATGCCACTGAAAGCTTTTAAGCAGTTGCATAGCTGTATTTTGTTAACAATATCCTGCATTACATCCCATCGTAATTGTGACCAAGAAGCTTAAGCCCTTTTGAGAGGCACTGTTTAATAATGCCTGATCTTTATGTGATCTGCAGTCTCTTTCAAGTTAATTCATTTGGGACCTAACACAAAGTATTAAAGTCTTTCAGATCTTATCAAAAGCCTTCAGAACTGAGCCCATTCAGTGCTGTGTAGATCCGAGCCCTGGCTCAGGACACAGTCAGTTTCTTCTTGTTACTGTCTTTCTGAAAGGTCATTCCTATTTCTGTGCAGTGGATACTATTGATTCCTTCTTTGCACTTATAATGACCAGATTTTTTCCCACCTCCAGACTTATGCTGGACCATTAAGACTGTCACTGACCTGTTTCTCATTAGCAAGAGGGGGTGCAGTCAGTGCAGTTGTTACATGTGCCCAATCGTTGTGTGAGCTTACGTAGTACTTCACACACTTTTAAAATAACAGTTTATATTAAAAGATTAGAGAAGCAGCCACAGACAGGAGAAAAGCAGATCCAAATACTGCTAGGATAGCCTGAACCCCAAACTCCATGTCTCAGCAAAAGGGAAAACTGAGTGAACTGTTCATATGATACGTGACAAACTGCTTAGGACACGAATTTGGTTTGTACTTCTGGAATTAACTGAAATAAAGCTCTGCAGCCATTTATTTCTTGTATTTGTAAAACTTGAATAGCATAAACCTTAAGGTGGAATTGTTCTGTTTAGAGTAAGTAATTTGCAGATGAGCTGTGAAATATTTTTCCTCGATGACATTTTCCCAGATGATAACAAAGAGAAGCTTTTCCACTGCTGGCATACAAGGTTACTGTTTCCTAATCAGTGACATTTGTTCCATTGTGAGGTTCAGGAGTGCACATCTCCTAGGAAATTAACAAAAGAGCTGGTAGAGTGACTTTAAATGTACTGCCAAGCAGAACAGCAAAAATGAATGCAGGGAATCAGAAATAATTGTGTTTGTCCTGCCTAGATATTTCTGCTTTGCTACTTTACTGAAATATTCTTTTACTCTACACACTACTAGATAGTGCTGGTTCATAACACATTCTTGAGCCAAAATTGTTTCTTCTGGTGGTGAAATAACCCTGTCCCTTCTCTTTTGTCTCCACAGAAAGCCAAGATGTAAAGGTCCCGGATTTACAGATTCCAATGATCTAATTTTCTCTTTCCCTATTTTGATTTGTTGAATGTAAATCTGGTGAACATGAGAAAGGAAGTGACAGAATAATTTTAAGAATCACTTCTCTTGCATCAAGCCAGCATACCTTGTTTGGTGATTTTCAGTTGTAGGAACTTCTCTGTGGCTTCATATTTCTTCCAGTAAAATTTTAATTTTACTTTTAAATTAAAATTTTTATACATATATTATTATAACCTGGACTAAAAAGAAATCACTGTTTTCTCTTTATGAGCGTGTTCCCTGTTATAGAATACTGTAGGTAGACTACTGTGCGCAGTACCTGTGGGTACTAGAGCATCATTTCACGTGCCAGTTTCATTGACAATCTGCTTTTAATCTGGTTGATATTGTACAGTCCCTTAAAATTTATAAACGTAATCAAAGTAAAGCATAAAGACACAGTATTTCCGTGCTTCAGGTACGTTTCTAAAATTATTACAAAACTACCTAAAATGTTAATTACCTGGATTGTAATATTGCTAATGAGACACAGCTCTCAATCATTAACACCATGGTAATTGCAGAAGCAGATAAAAGGCAGCTTGGAAGGATTATCTAAGGTTATACTGGTACTTTGGTTTAGAATGTTACAAAGAGTTAAATTTCTGTTGCTCCCGTTAATTATGGGGAGGCTCATTCAAAACTTTTCTCATGTGATCCTCATACATAACTTCTACATTCCATGCTACATCTCTAAGACAGTCCTAGATGCTTTTTTAAATTTTTAAATCCAAGTAATGGGAAAATACTATGGGAAAATACTGTTTTCCTATCAAGGTTCCACCTCACACCATTATCAAATGATTAAGCTGTTACTTTTCTTATTTCAGACAAGTATTATGGATTCCCTCTAGATGAACCTTCTGAAAAATTCCTATGGCAAAAATTAACTTTTGAGAAGCAGTTCACATTCTTTCAGCCTTTGTTAGCCATTTCCCTTCTAAATTATTAGGTTCCTGAGTAACTGTCACCAGTATGACAGATGTCACAGTCTTCATTCTTGAGTCAAATATTTCCTTTTTGTTTTTACTAGGAAGCCCATCTGGGCATGCCATGGGATCATCCTGCGTCTGGTATGTAATGGTCACAGCAGCACTTAGCTACACAGTTAGATGGAAAGATAAATCAGCTGTTACCCTTCACAGGTCAGTGTCTTTCCATAATTCCAACTCATTATATTCAGATATATCTTTACATGCATGCTATGTTTTTGATGGACTTAATTCAAACAAATATTCACAGTTTGGACTATTTTGTAAAAAAGCCAACAAACCTTTATTATGATCTACTTCAGCTGAAGAAAAAGTATATTAAGAGGATTTATCTGTTTGTATAGGTTGGTATTTATCAACACACAGACATTGCATACAATATCTCTGAATCAGTCTTAACTCTTCAGTGCTGGAAATTCTATGATTATCACTATGTATTGGATTTTTTTGGTTAGTACATAAATTTACTTCTTTGATGGTCATTCTTTGCCCATGTTAAAGCAAGTGGACATAATGTTGATGAAATTCACTATAATGTGTTGCTCAGCTCTGTGGGAAAGTCCTGCAATTGCTTTGGTGGTTGCTCTTTCTAAGGCTGACAAGGTTGTTTTCACACTAAATTTTGTAATGAAATAATTGAGCTTTTGCATATAGCAATGACTTCATGATGAAAGATATATTAAGGTATTAGTCCTAGTTTAATCTGCCATTGCTGACTTTCATCAGTTAAACCACATAGGTGTCTTGGACCTGAAACTTTTGAGATCTGTTCCTGTAACCACTCTTGATAATGTTTTAGTACTGACTTCTAGTTTTTAATCATCTTGATTCTAAACTTCTCTACTTAGTAAACCTCTGCTGGTAAAAGCATGAGCCTTACATGATGCGACTTTGGGTGAATAAGTGGATGAAATATCTTGTCTTAATTTTTAATCATCTTCCTTTTCCCTCTTAGACTAACATGGTCATTCCTCTGGAGTATTTTTTGGATTATCCAGATCAGTGTGTGCATCTCAAGAGTATTCATAGCAACACATTTCCCTCATCAAGTTGTTCTTGGAGTATTTGCTGGTAATGCTGCTATTTTTTCTTTCTTTTTAACTTATATGCAATTTAAAAAAAAAAAAATTAGAGAAGACGAGATTTTTAGTACTTGGACTCATCTTGCAGCCCCAGTGGTGCTGTCCACTCTCTGGAAAACTGAGGATTTGGTAATAGTCTGAAGGTAAAATTTGTGAGGTGGAATGAACTGCTGCTTATGTAATTCACAGTGAAGGAAGTGAGCCCTTATCCACCTGCCAGTTGATGCTGACTATTGTGTCCACACTGCCTCAGACTAGCTCTGGCTGCATCTGATCTTTAACTGTGCTGCCTTTGTGGAAGAGATCAGGGAGGAAGTTGCTCCTACATGGCTGTGATCTTTCCTCTCAGGAGGAAGTTATTTGGGTCACTTCAAATGGTGTCCGGGTGCAGTGTGAACAAACGCAGAGACCTGGGCAAAATAGAAAAAAAGGTAAATAGCAGGACAAACTCCCCTGGGTGATTTAAGATGCTAAAGTACATTTTTCAGAGTTACTTAAGCATATTATAAATTGGTATTCAGAGTCCAAACTATGAGCAGTATCTCTGATATCTGTCTGATTTTAAGGAGGGTGACCAGTGCATTGAGCAGGAGCTTCCTGCCCATGTTCTCTTTCATGGATGCAGTGCAGCCTGGGCAGCCCTGGCTAACAGCTTTCCCGCTTCACAACTAGGAAAAAATGAGTACAAGAGAAGATAAGTATGTTCTGTGTCTTTACCTTCAATACTCAAAGCCTGTGTGAGAACTGGTGTTGAATTCTGCATTGCTGGAGCCAGTCTTTGAGTGAGGGACTCTTTTGGAAAAGGAATGTTCCGGTTTACATCTAATATTTGCTAGGTTGTCATCTGGGAGATGCAGTCAGGCCTTAAGGTATGCCTCATCTCAAAACCACGTAGTACTTGGGATTTAGGTGGGTTTTTTTTCCAAAGTGGCGGTTTTGAGTGGGAGGAAAGGTTTTGTAATGTACTGCAAAAGCGGTAAATTGTGTATGTATATGTGTATGTATAAATATATATATAGCGATATAGACACACACATAGGTATTTTTTACATAGATATATTATTTTGTCTTCACAAGTCAAATTCTACAGGGACAGTGTAGAAAATGCTTCTTCAAAAGTACAAGTGTGTTGTTCCCTGTAACACTGAGTTTCTAATCCGCAGGCATTCTTGTGGCAGAAGCATTTGAGCATACCCCTTCTATTCAGACAGCAAGCTTGAGAATGTACATCAAGACAAACTTGTTTCTTTTCATCTTTGCCATTGGCTTTTATCTATCCCTCAAGCTTCTTGATATTGACTTGCTATGGTCTGTTCCAAAGGCCAAGAAGTGGTGTGCCAACCCAGACTGGATAAACATTGACACAACTCCATTTGCTGGACTGGTGAGGAACTTAGGCGCACTCTTTGGTTTAGGTCTTGGAATTAATTCTGAAATGTTCATCATGAGCTGCAAAGGTAAAAATAGCTGCAGGATAAGTTTTCGCATATTGTGTGTAGTTGCTTCTTTAGCTACACTGCAGCTGTATAATTTTGTTAAGATACCTACTCATACTGAGTATTTGTTCTACATTCTCTCTTTTTGTAAGAGCGCAGCTATGCCTCTGACTGTGGTTGCCTTGGTTCCGTACTGTGTCCACTCATTAATGAGGACAACTGAAAAGAAACTTAATTAGGTAAAGTTTCAAAATGGTTAGCAATGTGGGGATGGATGTGAACTGTTCAAGATCCCTCTGCAAAGGCAGTTTTGCTAATTCATTTAAACCAAGGGGATGCCACTGCATCTTTGATGTACTCCTGGTAAGTAACCAGTACATGCAAAATCAGTACACTTAAGAATGACTTTGGCAGCTCAGAAATATTAGTTGCTGATTTTATTCCTAGAAATATTGCAAGCACACTGCAGTATGGTTAGTAATGGCCCAATACTCTGGGTCATAACAAAGTTTTAAAGTATAATCAACCATCTTTATTTAGCTAAATGGTGGTCTTTTAGTTCTCTCCATCTCTAGCTACATAAAGCTTCAAGCATCAGTTGTACATAGTGATACTCGATATTTTGGGTTTTATATATAGATACTGTGTGTTTAACTTCTACATAATGGTGTGACAGTGTCACACCACCTACAACTGTAGGGCTGTACCCAGGCACTGTGAAAAAGGCCAGCATAGTTATAAACAAGGCTTTAGATTTAATTTATTGAGCTTCCTGAGCAAACCAGCTTCTGATTAAGTCAGATGAGAAAAAAAAGTTTATTTCCATTGGACTATGTAGAATATATTTTTGCATTACTGTGTGGTTTTTGTCATTTTTACTTTTTGAAAGTGGTCACATGAATCATGAATGATACAGATCACACCTTTGATAGGGAAAATGCATAAATATGGTGTAAAAAATCTTTGGGTTCTGTACATCTACAGGGAGCAACAAATGAAAAAAGTTGTCAATAATTAAATTATCTCAGTATATTGTCAAGAATATTGTTCATGCTCCTGTATTGCAAAGGTAATTCTCTGTAATTCTCTCAGATCAACAGTCACAAGCCTGAATCACTGTTAGTAGTTGTGTAAATCATGAAAATTTGGTTGCAAATTGTCACTTCAAGTTTATATTCTTGTCAGCTTTACTTAACTAAGCACACAAGTAACGAATATGTTGAATATATGTTTCCTATATAAAATGGATGTTCTAAGTAGGTAAAGGGGGACACTTTCCATTTTATTCATTACTTGGCATCTATTGTATATTCCCTTTCAGTGCACAATCTTTAAGCAACATTTTGCTGATACCATCCCATAATACTCAATATATAAACTATATATATATATATATAGCCTCAGTATGCAAGGCTATAATATGGGTAATGAGGGCTGCATATGTATGATCTGAAAGCAATAAGACTTAGAAGATGTAAACATGATATTGTTTCTAGACTTCCAATTAGGTAGGAAATAATTGAAATAATCTTATTTAATTGGGTAAACAAGGTGATTAGTTGGGTGTTGGCCTTTGAGAAAGAACAAGATACAGATTACAGATGGAGATCTGAAAAGAGCATTCTTAATTAAGAGCCTAGTAAGACGACCATGACTTAAGTAAATTAGTCATCTGCTTTTAACAGTCTGAGGAGTATTCTGTTTTGGGCATCTCCTGATATTTTCTCTAATGGTTCTCTGAACTTTTTTCCCACAGCAACTGACCTGAAACCACTCTTTTCTGTAATTGTGACTCCTTAAGCAAAATTATTAAGTTAATGGGACTAGACACAAAAAATGAAGAACAAAGACAGCTATGACAAAGATTTCAGCTGTGTTCAAGTTGCTGTGTGCTTTGTTATTCCTTACCAGTGAGATGGCTACAGAGGCATCGCAGAACAGTAGCAGGTCATCGAGTTATTGTTCTGTTCCTGGCTCGTCCTAGCCAGCAGTAGGGGATTCTTCATGCACAGCTGTCCACTATTCTCAAAGCAGCATTTGGATTTAGTGGCAATTTTAAGCTGGAAGTTACGGGTAGAGATCACATTTCTAGGCTTCTAATCACGTGAGAGTTTGTTTCCCACCAGTGACAAAGAATCTTGGCACTTCTCTTGGGGTAGACACAACCATAAATGTAGAATGACAGGTGGCATTCTGCATTATTCTTCTAAGCTCTGTACAGACACATAGAAAGATGTGGGTTCTTGCTTTCTTGGAGTGTCCTATTAATTCATTCTGTAATTTCACTTCTTCAGGGAAAAGGATGCAGAACATCTTCCTGTCTGAACCACCTCTTACTTTTTCTTCAACAGTTAAAACGTTACTATATCAAAGAATGGTGGGAAACCTGAATAAATTTAGTGCAATTTTACTAGTAACTTCAGAAGTTAATTGACTGATAATACAATGGCTATAAAACACTTTCTGAGCAGCTGTGTGTGTTGTGGTATGGAGATTTGTGTAACTGCTTGAAGAATCTTCAGAGGGGCCTCCCAAATCTTCAGAGTTAGCTTTTTCCAGAGTGGTGGAAGAGAAAAGTGTCAAGATATAATCTTGATATTTTGATAGAATTGGAATTGAAAATCGGGAGTCAGGCATATAGTTGCTGCAGTGAAGTAAACCTGCATGTCCCTTACTCAGGCTTCAGTAGATTTATTGCAGTTGAAAAGCACAGTTTAGCCCTTATTTAAATAGACTATGTGACCTTACTAAGAGCTCAAATTGTTAAACATTTAAGCTGTAATTTCACCAGGCCTTTGCAGCCGTTTAAATTGTTAATATATTGAACAGATGCAGCACATATGCATTTGCAGGAGAAGCTGAGGACTTGGCTTAGTTTGGGCCACAAACCTTTTGAATTAAGGTTTTCCTATATATTAAAGACCGTTGAAAGTGTATGACTGATCCCCTTGCTCCCACTAGTAGGATCTCAGGAGAAATTTAACCTTTTCTTATTGGCTTAGAGATGCCCAAATAATTCTTGGCTTAGAGATGCCCATAATAGCATTGGGATAATGCTATTCCAAAAGTACTTCCACCTCTCTGCAGAAAGATTCTCATGAGCCAGGAGTTACATGAAATGAAGCTGTCCCTTGCTCTTCATACAAACTAGCAGACAAGTTGTCATTACATTCAGTTCACTGCATTTTTGCTACTACACAGCTTTTCTTTTTATCCTCCCCATTCCCTGTTTTAACCTTCCTGGTAGAAGCACTCTGGGCCCAGACTCCCTGTTCCTACCCAGAAGAGTCTAGTTGGAGCAGGAGCTGTATTTGCAAGAGCAGTTACTCAGGTGCTATCCCAAAACAGTATCGTGGTTATAACTGCCCAGAGGAATAGGGTGTTGGAAAATGCAGCTGCCATGGACCATGCAGAGAAGCATACAGCAGGCGACACCAAGTGACGCCACCTACTGTCAAGACTAACAACTCATGTCTGGCTTGAAAGATATAAGCAAATGACTTTGGAATGGTTCGGGAATATTGTCACCAATATGAACATTTTACTGGTGAGGCAGCTGCAACAGCAAGACCAGTCCAGCTCTGCACTGAGCATTCCATCAAGGCTTGCTGCTCATGCCCAGACACACCATGTACTGCCACCTGCAATCCAATCCCTTTGCCCAGGTACCAGAAGTTTTTGTAATCCACTGGCTGTCAACAGCATGTAGGAACAAAGTGGCAGGAGGTAGCATCCAATTGTTTATGTACACAGTGAGTGCACTCTGTTGGAGTAGCACCCTTTCCAAAATTTAACTCTCAGTGTTTCCCAGCTGCCTGAAAAGAGGATGATGTTACATTGAGGAGCAGCAGCACTATCACCCAGCTTGGGTCATGCTTCTGTAGGGAGACAGCAGGCTCCTGTGCAGGCAGGGGCTGGTGTCCTTGAGTTGGCCTTCTCAGCAGCTCCATTCTGAACAGCAAACCCTTGTCACAGACATGATACTTGCTGGCTGCTGCAAGACACTTGGGCTTAGCTGAAGCCTAAGAGAAGAAATGCTAGAACACAAGAGCCAGTAAAAAAATACAATTTATTGGTTTAATTTGGGTCACAAAAATATTGTCCTTTAGGAAAAAGAATTATGAAATAAGTATCCATAGTCATAGTATTTTTTAATGAAGAGTCATTCTTTTTCTGTGGCCTTAAATAATAATTAAATACCATATACTTATGTCTGCAGGTTATTGATAGTCATTCTGTCAATAGTTTTAGTCCTGAGCCTTCAAACTACTTATTGATCTGAAATGTAAAAAGGATAAAAAGATTAAAGCAAATAATGCAGCTTTTTCTTCTACTTTTCAGTTAAGATTTAAAATACAGACTTCCTTAGAGAAATAACCATTTCAGTGCTGGCTGTGTGAGTTCAATAGGGTATGTGGCAGTGACTCTGTTAATGGAGTTGTATAAAAGGTGAAATTGGGTTTTGCTGCCTGGAATTACGGGATATGTCCTAATAATCTTTTTGCCCTTACAGCTCTATTTAAGTACTGCTACTGTTGCAGTATTTTATAAGAAGTGGTGTGACTTCTTACAAAGTGAGTGGAAACCTGCCTGCCCACTCTCCCACCCAGCCAAGGTGCATATTTTAGGACATGGAGAATGACAGTTAATACTGTTTTTTAAAATCAGTATTTAAATATTGAAACTGTAATCTATACTTTTTTTCTATCTGCTTTTCTCCAAGATCCCACTCACTAAAGGAAACAGTCCTGTTATGCTGCAGACAACAACCAATAGCATATTTCAGTGAAACTTGTGGTAAATCTTTTAATGAACTCTGACAGATACAAACTTCTCCCAAAAGAAGCTCCTTCCTGACCTTTGTCATTTCTGAATATATTGTTGCTCTGTTTATCAACTGTATTTAATACAAAGAGCTAATTATGCCTATTTTTAATACCTTCACTCATGATTGTCTTACCTTCTGAAAAAAGAACATATCCATCACCATTTCAATAGAAATGGTTTAAATAACTGATGATTAATAGAATTTTACGTTAATTTAACCACGGCATTTATTCCTATTCAAAAATCTTTTTTGACAGCTAATTAGAGTGATGAATGTTAGCTGGAGAGTGGTGGGCTAGAAAATGATCCTCACCAGCTTCTGTTCCTTACCTTGTGCTTTCCTTACTGTTGTGGGGCTGCCTTCTTTGTAAGTACTGACTGGTTTGTTGAAGGGGCATGGCTGCGTCAGTGCTGCAGGTGCACGCAAGGGAAGCCCAGCCTCCCCAACAGCACCACTGACATGTGTGGTACAATACAAAGAAAAAGTGGGGCTTCTGCATGCACAGGAAGGGCCTCAGCTGTAATTGTCTGCAGACCAAACGTAAGGACAGATTTGATCCCTTCAGATATACAGCATCATTTGAGGGGTTTTTTTCACTCATTCAGCTTACCTAGAGAAAGGGCAGTTTCCAGAACACCAGAGTCTTCCTTGACTGCTGGTTGAGGCATAACAGTACTGTGCAGTCTCACTGCAGATAGTGGCAACTCCCCAGATCACCAGAAAAGATCTTTCCCAGTTTTAGGCTTTTTTCCCCTTATCTACTTCCTGAATGCGTCAGCCTGTGCTTAGTGCCTTGCACGTGTTGGACAAGCATGCTTGATGCAAACAGCTACATACATTCAGGGTTCCACATATCTCACTGTATTGTAGAGCACACTCTGCAGCACAATGGAGCATCAGCATACACATACCTACCACAAAGTATTTGCTTACAGAAATCTTTCAAATTTAGAATCACAGTAATTCAGCTAATTGGGGCTCCAGTAGTAACAAGCTTCCAGTAGGCTCCTTCCATGGCCATCAGTTCATCGTGAGTGCCCCTTTCAATGATGAGTCCTTGTGACATGACAGCGATGATGTCTGCGTTCTGGATGGTGGACAAGCGGTGGGCGATGACGATGCAGGTGCGCCCCTCTCTGGCTTTATCCAGCGCTGCCTGCACGGTCTAAAGGCAACAGGCAAAGTGTCAGAATAAAAATGTGCAAACTGAACAGCGCTCAGAGCTGGAGGAGGCTAATTGCTTCTGATTAATTAACCATACTGTGCAACACTTGTAAAAGGGACAGGGAGACTAAATCAGAGGTTCTGACATTGATGTGCTTTGCTGGGTCATGAAGTCGGTTTACCAGCACTACAAACAAGGGACAGCTAAACACAGACAGAGGTAGAAATTAATGAAGGCCTTTGCCTTTGCTGACATTCTAAATGTCAACTGAATGCTTTGAAATCGAGACAATTCAGACATTTGTGAAAAAGTGCTGCTTCTCAAAGGTAGCTTAAGAGCACTTGGGGCTGGCTGCTTTTTCTTACAGCTGTACCTCCTGCACTTCTTGGAAAGATCATTAGAGGTGAAAGTACTGAATTCACAACCTCGAATAATGTGCAATCACATAGTAGCATATGTTGGCATATCGATTGAACAGAAAAGGTACTGTGTGTGTACTGTGTGTTATAGGCCATTGTATTACCTTTCCCTAATTGATTATCACTGTGCATTTACCTTTTCACTTTCCGTGTCTAAGGCGGATGTAGCTTCATCCAGTAATAAAATTTTAGGGTCTCGTATGATAGCCCTTGCTATGGCAATGCGTTGCTTTTGCCCACGAGACAGCTGGGATCCCTGAGACCCAACATTAGTTTCATATTTCTGAAAAATATACAAAAGGAGTATTTTATTCAGGTGTAAGTTAACACACCATTACACAGCCTAAAGGAAAAGCAGGAGAGAGGCAAGAAAGGTGACCACTGCTGTCCACTTGCAGAACCTGGGAATGCAGAAACAATGTACAGCAGTAAATGTGTTTGAGGTGAGGTTTCCAAGCTGTGCTTTGTCTGCACATGGCCCTGAGGCCCAGGCAGCACAATGATGAACCTGGAACGAAAATGCAAAATGTGTAGCAAAATCTCGGCTGATTTGTCAGAGGCAAAAAAGAATTCTCCCTGCCTAGATTTTGGAGAAGAGGCTAAAAGTGATTTAAGGGCTTTCTATAAAAGTGCTTTGGTTTGAGTGCCTAAATTGTATCCATACTTTATATGCTCTTGATTTTTTTCAGTGCATTTAAATACTACTTAAGTGTACATAAGCAGCCAGCTTCAAATATATTTGTCTTAGTATCATGTCCTACTCACAAGGCAAATCTCCCACAGCTGGGAACAGGATTTACCTATTTGCCTACTGTGTAAGAATTCAGTAGTAACTCACACCTAGACTGTAAGGAGCCCAACAAATGGTCACATCACCATCTTTGTTCCTACTGCCACAGCTGTAAAAAGACATAAAAGGTGCATGTGTGTAGCAACTGTAACTGGTTTCAGAGCAACTCCTGCTGCAGTGAACACTGAGCAACCAGGGCCTCGCAGGTACTTACGTTAGGCAGAGACATGACAAAATCATGCAGTTGAGCCTTCTGA